AGTGGTGACTGCATAAAGAATCTTAATTTTTGTTTGAAATGTCATTATATTTCAGGACGTCATTTTGCTTAACATAGCTCAATTTTGTGGCCTGTTCTTCTTGTAATTCTAAATAATTCTGTTATAATATGCATGGGCACATAATAAATGAAAGCAGAAAATGGTTATAATTATTATATGATAGATATAATTTATTGACGTATACATATTTGTACATAGTCACAATAAGAAACATGTAATACATAAATCATAAGTCATGGTTCGATCATATTGAAAACAAACGTTGTTAAACAAAAGTATATATGGAGAATGTTCTTAAATCCATATTTAAACAATACAAAGTTGGCATTACTCTTACTAAAAAAAAATGCAAAAATGACTTTCATATATTTAATATGTAGTGAATCAACGATTAAAATTACATGATAAATACCATACTGTCGCTTTTTAATGAGCAAAATTATCATGCGCATACTGGTAAAAATAGTCTTTAAATGGTAATATTAATAAGGTCATATCGACGCTTAGTAGCAAAGATGATGTATTTAGCAAGTCCAATTAATTCGGATTTATTTTTTGACTTCAAAAGCTGCAAAAATTTAAACATACTCGGCCTTCTGTAAAAATATGGCTTAATGAACTCCCTACGTAATGCAGTATAACAATTGCAAATGATAATAAAATGAAATTCATCCTCAATTTCTTGAAGATTACATAATTCACATTTTCTTTCAGAACGTGGATTTCTATTAGGACCATACCTCTCTGCCTCTATCTTTAATTTATGAGAAGATAATCTAATACGAGATAAATTTTGTCTGTAGGATTTAATGAATAAATTATCAAGATAAAATGCAGGTTCAAATTTGTCAATCAAATGTACATACAAATTAGACAAAAGTGGACTAGATTGAATGTCTGCATTTACCTTTTGTATAAAACAATCAACTAATCTACGTTTGAATATTTCAACAAACTCTTTTGGGCTGTATTGCAATGGGTTGAGCCATACATCTGTGAATCCATATTCATTTAAAATAGAATGAACCTTAGCTGCCCAGGAGTTATATCCATTATCATGAAGACTTATTGATGAATAAAAAGCAGACTTTAAGATATTATTATTTGAATGAAGAATATGTAACCAGAATCTTATTATTTGAATATATCTTTGAACATAAAGAGGATATCGGCCTAACTCCGAATAAACTGCTGCAGTACATGTACTGTGTTTTACGCCTAACAATGACTTGCAGAATTTCAAGTGAATCCTTTCTATATCCTTAGATTTTGTAAAACCCCATATTGCACAAGAATAATTAAGTGTTGAGGAAACAAACGCATCAAAGAGTTGGAGTGAAACGGAAGGGGTCACATCATATTTGTTAATATTACGAAGTAAAACATTTTGGGCTTTCATAGCTTTTCCTATAGCATACTGATTATGAAGTTGAAAAGACCCCGTATAATTAAAGACTACACCCAAATAGTTGAAGTTATCAACAGTCTCTAATAAAGTATTGTCGTATGACCATTTTTCATTTTCTCTGATGGTTCCCCTCTTCCTAAAACCATTGTTTTAGTTTTATCTGTGTTGACCTCTAGGCCCCATTTATCACAATAAAGCTTTAAATTATTTAGATTCGATTGCAATTCTTCAATTGACTTTCCAAATATGACCATATCGTCGGCAAAAAGTAAAATAATCATACATATATCATAAAAAGTGAAACCCTTATCGTTATTACTATCATCATTCCTTAAGTATTGTTCCAGATCTTCCAGAAATAAAGCAAACAAAATCGGTGAATTATTTTGGCCCTGTCTTAGACCAATAGAAATATCAAAAAAGTCTGACAAAGTATTACAGTGCTTAACACAGGAAGACACCGAAGAGTACATATCTCTAAATATCCTGATCAATTTACCATCTAGTCCGAGATTAAAAAGTTTATACCAAAGAGCATTACGATAGATTGAATCGAAGGCTTTTTTAATGTCAATAAAACAACAATAAAGACGTAAATTTTGGGATAGTATTCGTTCCACTAAAGAGTGCAAAACAAAAATTGCATCAACGGTGCTTACACCTGAACGAAAACCGAATTGTGCGTCAGACTGTATATTGTAATCACGCGCCCAATTTTCAACCCGTTTTGTTAATACCTTTGTAAATAATTTACCAAAATTGCTAATTAATGTTATTCCTCTATAATTATTAGGTACCCTCTTATTTCCCTTTTTATATAATGGTACAATGTAACCATAAGACCATACTTTTGGGAAATGACCGGAATTAAATATAGTGTTAAAACAGTCAGTGATATGACCGATAAGTATGTCGGACGTCTCAATGAAAAACTCATTTAATAAATTATCGGCAGGACATGGTGCCTTATTTCGCTTAAGATCTTTAATTGCCATTAGTATTTCATTAGACGTAATAGGCGTATTCAGGCATTCAAAAGATGGATTATTTATATTAAAGTTTGTTTCAGAGATAAAACTTTCTACATCTTCTATACGTGTAGATCTTATATCATTGAACAAGCTAGAAAAATATTCACGAAATTCTTCAGGTTTTACATCGTTTGAACAATTTTCAAGTTTTGGCTTAAAATGATTCCAAAATTGCTTTGGTTTTGATTTACGAAGTTCGCATAATTCGCGCGACTTTTTAGTCTTAAACACTCTTTTTTTCTTGCGCATTAAAAGTTTATAAGAACGTTTACGCTCAAAAAGTAATTGTCTGTTATCTATTGATTTGTTTCCATTAAATAAATTAAGCGCTAAAATATACAGTTTCTTTGATTCTACACACTCGCGATCAAACCACTCTTTATTACATGATGTATCATGCATATTGCATGATATCCGCGAATGTTTAAAGTACGGTTCGGCCACTTCTTCAATCAACGAGGAAAAACCCTCAACTAAATTATCAATAGAAAGGCTCTCCGATGTACCGTTACTAAGTAGAAGTGCATTAAACTCGGGAAGCTTTGAAATGATATCACGTCTAAAGTTTATCTTGTGATCATCTGACCATTTATAAAATGTATACTCCGAGGTATTTTCATAATCATTTATATTTTGACTACTTATCAAAGAATTAATATCAATTTCAAAGAAGAGTGGTGCATGGTCACTGTATTCGTTAAACGGTAACAGTTGAAATGTATTAATCCGCTTAAAATCTTTATCATTCAAAACCAAATAGTCAATTGTACTACATGATCGTTGGTTAAAAAATGTGAACGAACTGGTATCACCAATTCTACCGTTAGCTATTCGCAATGATGTGGACTTACAAAAATCAAGCATTGCATACATTATCTTCTGAGGCCCGTCCTTGAGCAATATCAGGCGTATAAAAATCAAAATCTAGCTGATCATTACAAACATCAAAGGAAATAAAATCATTATGGCTACCAACTCGTGAGTTCCAATTATTATTATACAATGACAAAGTTGTGCAAATGTATTTTTGGCATGTCTAGTACTTTAATTGATAATCCAAAACTCGATGAATAGCTCAAGGCCATTTATTATCACTTAATCTCCTTTGCTTGGTTGGTTTTTATATTTGATGAAAACACCCTGAGTGCGTGTGACTATTCAACTAAAACCTGTTACATATAAACTTTATGCAATCTGGTTTTAGTGTAGCGTAGTGCTGAAAATAAATCATTACACCAAAAATACGACAAAGTTATTTGATCGACGTAAAAACGAATGTACCATTATATATGATCATGACTGGATCAAAAATCAAACGATGAAAACAATCTTTAAATATATGACTGAGCAGAATATAAATTATTTTTAATCATTCGAGTCGTTGTCCAGAGCAACTTGTAAATGCGGGTTGTTGTCTTTAAAGGCAACATGCTCGGGCACATTAAAATGATACATTTAAACCATTACTTCAGATACATTTAATCCATTACTTCACATAGAACTCCCTCCCCTTTTAAGGCCTCAAATAGTGAAAAAATGTCCTATTTGGACTCGAAACACTTGTTCTCGTTTGAGAGATATTGTAAAGAAGATATTTTTTTCGGCGCCGTCCCCTATCAAAAAGATACATCATACGCTAAAATTTGCCTCAGGTCGATCTTAAGGTAACGTGTAAGCAACTCTTATCTAAATCTACTGAGAAGTTGCAGCACTTCGAAATCGGTTTTGATGGGAAAAATCAACGCAAAATAGTGATTTTTGGTAATTTTGTGATGTCCCCTCGTTGCCATGTTAAGAGGCAATTTAAGATTGAGCATGCCGTTGCCAGTAAACATTTGTGCCAAATTTGATCACTATTAAAGCATTTTTTATAGTTTCATAGCAATTTGAACTTGTATCAGGAGGCTTTTCGAAGAAACAGCCATTTTTTAAAGTAAATGCTCATGCAGTAATGGGTTAATTAATATAGATTTATTTACAAAAAAACAAACAATGTGTTCGTTGGAAATTCTAGTAAAGATAATTCTCAAAATAAAAAAAAGAATGAAATAAGTATTGATTGTAAATAAGTGTCAAGTCCACAGCAGTCTACAAAGCACGAAATAGATGCAATAAATTCGTTGAAATAGGAAAGCTAAGAAAGATAGATACTCCATACATACTGTACATTATGTTCTAACAAAGAAGTATTATTACATTATTTTGCTTACTTAAAGATGTCATTATAACTTAATGTATAAAATGTCACTTATACAAACATTATAAAACTTATGCTTTTACATCCAGCATTAAACTAGTTACCACTTTTACAGGTACACACATGACCCTCAAAAATAAACACGTGACAGTGTGACATGTCATTTAATTAGTTAAGCTTAAGTTTAACCAGACGATATGAGACAATATGTTTATACTAGAATGGTGCCTAAAGTACCTTACAAATATAAGGTTTGACTTACTTGTCCACTTAACGTCGACGTCAGTCAACCAAACTTCTTATTACGAAAACTATATCTATCTTTGTTTGTGCTTTTAATGCATTATAAAAGGATAGTTTCTTGTATGCATTTGATTTCGAATGTTTTGATTTTAGTATTTTTTCTCATACCCACGTATAAACATCCTTTCTCTGTATGCTTATCAATTGCGATACTCAAAGGCCCATATACATCTTTTGATCCAAGGAGTATTCCGATTTTTGTTAAGTTCGAGGTTAATTGAAAAATATTGTTTGAATACATGCCAGCAACAAAAATCGTTCCATGTTCATCAATCGCTAATCCTCTGGGACGATTTAGTTCCTCGTCCTTAAACACAGCTCCAATTCTACCATCAGAATGTATTTTGATCACGACATTTCTTTGTGCGTCAGAAACATAGAGCGATTCTTCGTCTAAGCTCAGAATTATATATCGTGGACTCATAAACAACTTATTTCCCAAACAGTCTTTATCCAATAAGCGAACTACTTTACCAGTTTCATTTAGTATTGTAATTTTGCTTGTAGGTTCTTTATATGACACATACAAATAACATTGACTTTTGCTGTATGCCAGACTGCAGCAATCCTTTCCAACTTCAATGTCTTTTTTTCTATCGACAAATTCTGAGTTAATAATGTCAAACAGTTTGATTTTGCCATCAAGTGGTAGAGCTACTGCTATTCCAGTCCCATTTATGGATATTGCACTCTTTGGACTTGATGACATAAATAATTTTGATAAAACATTTTGCTTGATGGGGTCAACCAACACAATGGCACTACACATGTATGTAACAACAACAAGTAAATCATCTTTGATCAATACATCATCCATATTTGTAGGGTAAATCCTGCTATAGTACACATGAAGATCAATATCGTACTTATAACAAGCTGTTTTTGTCAGGAAAGTTTCTGAGAACAATATGTTTCCAAAGTCGGATTTGTCAACTATGCGGCTTTGGTTTGCTTTGAATTCGTATGTCATAATCTCAGTTTGCTTCTTTAAGCATTCAAGACCCTTCTCGACGGGAGTAATACTTTGGTCTATGTTTTGGACGGCAATGAAGTTTGAGCAGCAGTTGTCCGATTGAGACACCACGGAACGTAACATAGTTTTCATAGACTGAACGTTGCACGACAGAGAATTTATCGACGGTTTAAACGTGTTTTCAATCTCATCACATTTCTTTAGGAAATGACTTTCAACCTCTTTGATCTTACTTTCTATGTTTTGTCTGTGTTGTTTTATAGATTCTCGAATTTTATCTTTCCTTTTTGTCGTTAGTTTATCGATTGTGTCTTCAATGTTTGCCAGTTTATCAGTTGCTTCAGCAATTTTTGTGTCAACTTGTGTTTTCGATACCTTGTATTCCAAAGCAACTTTGTAAAGCGATGTCCATTTTTTACTTTGACATCCGTCTTCGTGATAACAACCTTCATTTGTTATACATTTTGTGCATGCGATGTTATTACATTCTATGCAATAATACTTCATTTGTTTCATATCATGCTTCAAACATTTTTCAAAACGTACATATATGGGCATTTCATCCCTACTTTTAGTTGAATGTTCAGGCTTATACTTAGCATGGCACGACATACAGCAGTTACACAAATATTCACTGCACTCAACACAAAACCCATCAGCTTCAGCACGCTTTCCATCACTGTCACAATGTTCGCAAATATTAGGAACATATTCCTCTGACGATGTTGTTTCAATGTCAACATTTCCATCTAAATTTTCCATTTTCTTGAATTATTGATAGCGTGTCTGGTTTTCTTGTTGCCTACCTATGAGTTTAAAATAGAACAGATTAACGTAATGTTCAAACACCGTATGCAGATTGTCATAGCTGAAAATATGCAGATATCGCATTAATAAACATGGTTAACCAACTAAGGTAAAGGTTTATAACAAATAAATACAATGTAAGTCTTGATAACATTGATATTCTGGAGGGGGGAGGGGGGATTATTATGAAAATTGTTGTCTAAGAAGAAAAAAACACAACAAAAACTGGTTTATTTGTATATCGTTTCTTTGGAAACATGGAAAAAGAATCATAAGGATTATGATATTGTGCCAATTATTGAATTTTACTTTTAAATTTTTGAAATATTAAAATCTTATGCATATGTTGGCACAATCAAAGTATTTTAAATAGAAACAAAATGTAAAGTCTGAAATTGATCCTTCATAAGTAAAGAAGAAGTAGATAAGAACTACAAACAAAAAAATTTATTTCGTATTCATTTTCTTTCGTCTCAGTTCATTTTCAGTGTCATGCAATTTTCTTCCGGGCGAAGGCCGGTTTGTTTAACTGTTTGACTTCCTGTAAAATTTACAAGAAATAACTGAATAAATGTAAAAGAGAACTCTGCAAAAACAAAGGTTGTAATATTTTCTAGGGGCATGGATCGTATGGGTGATGCACCTCAATTTTGTTTTGATAATGAGGACTTAGAATGAGTACATATTTTCTTATCTAGGCATTATAGAAAATGGTAAATTTGTTAAAACTAGAAAACGTCTTATTGATCAAGCAAAGAAAGCTATGTTCTCTCTGGTAAAAAAGCTTGAAAATTGTTAGTATCTGTAGATCTACAGATCCGCATGTTTAAAACAATGATTGTTCCTATTCTTTGTTATGGCTCTGAAGTTTGGGAATAGAAAATTTAAAGTGTATTAATCAGTTTCAGCTTAAATTTTACAAAATTATACTAAACCTCAAGCAAAGTACTCCCAATTGTATGTTATATAGTGAACTTGGAGTTACTCGATATCTTTCAATAAAATAAGTAGATTATATCTCTGTGTAAGCTTTGAATGGTAATAGATAAAGATTTGTAATATTTCACTAAAACTGCATAGTACTCAGTATATGTTAATATAGAACTGACTGACGGGGGCTTTAATTGTTTAGGATCACTTTCACGACCTTGGTTTAGCAAATATTGGTTAAGTAATTTACAGTCTCGTTTAATTCAAAAGAGCTTCGAGATAGTTCATTTGCCAAAGTTGGAACAGTCATGTCCCAATCTTAAAGCAATTTTTTACTCTAATTAACTGGCAGAGTTGTAACTTCGAAAATATTTTAACATATTCCTTTGGCAACGTCTTCAGCTTGTTAAAATTAAAGTAATTAATTCATAATCCAATGAGAAGTATATTCCTAATATATTAGAACTTACGTATATATACTTTATGTGAGTCAATCCAACTGGGTGGCGAATTTCACTATCTCTTTTATTGTTCACATTTTGTTAATAGTAGACGTAAACTTATTAAACCGTATTATTATAAGTATCCTAATGCATTGAAATTTGAAGATCTTATGAATAGTAAAAACAAGTCACATTTTAAAAACCTTGCTAAATAATTACAGATAGTAACTACAGATTGTATTTGCTCAAATAAACAGGCCTATATTCCTATATGTAACCTTATTTTGTAAAGAAAAATAATTACAACATGCAAATAAAAAGTATAATATTGTATCATTAGTATCCTAGAAATTTGTCGTTGAAGCATAAATTCCGGTTATTATTGAGAATCTAATCATATCTTTTTTATTTTATTTTATGGGTACAATATAATTGTCACTCATTCTCCTGTTTTATGTATATTTGAATAAAATCTAAATATAAATCTAAATCATCTTATATTTCCTTGGCAACTGTCTTTATCTTTGTTAAAATTAAGATGTATAAATCATAAAATGTCAATTGTGAAATGTAGATTCCTGAATATAGAGAGAAACTTACGTATATATACTTTATGTGAATCAAACCCACCGGGTGATTAATTTCACTAACTTTTTTATTATTTACATTTTGTTTTGTTAATAATAGACGTAAATTTATTAGACCACATTATTATAAGTATCCTAATGCATTCAAATTTGAAGATCTTATAGTCTATATCCAACATTATATAATCTTATAAACTATTGACCTTATCAATAGTCTCCTAGAAAAAAATTGTTAATGAAAGCATAGATTCCGTTTATTATTAAAAATGTAGTCCTATCTTTATTTTATTTACGGGTACAAGATAATTGTCACTCATTCTCCTGCTTTTATGTATATTTTTCTGTGTTCCGGTTCATACATGTTCACAATTTTGTATTTTATGTCATGGGTTCCTATGAACAATGACAGTATTGAATAAATCTTGAAATCTTGAAAACATTTCATTGGTCAGTTCTTAAATTACTAACAAATTAAATTTCAGATATATAATGCCTACTCAACTTCTATATTACCACACATCCACCTACAGATTATTTGATGCTGCTTTTAACAAGTTATAAATTTTATCAAACATTAACGAGACCACCACTTACAAGTACGGCCATGATCTCGGACGGGTACTTATAGCGAAAAGCACACAAGAAAAACGAACTTATCCGGCATTATCAGTTATTATGTGAAATGGATACAAAGTTTATAATTTTCATTTATTTGACATATTTATGAAGTATTTATATAATCGCTAACGATTGAATGATTTGTTTATAATAAATGTTTGTCAAAGTATTTTTAGATTAAAAAAGCTTTCTTTTGGTTCTTTTTCGGGTTTCAGGTTTTTTTTCGTTATTTCCAAAGGTGTTGCAAATCTGCATTCTCCCACGCAGTGATTTCTCCTTAAGGGGCAGGGGACCTAAAAATGAAAAAATTTTGTATTTCAGTGTGACCAGAAACACAATTCCAAATATTTCAAATATGTTTCAAAGGCAGATAACCAGTTGCACAGCATTTATTCAATGATACATGACATACATTGAAGAAAATAATAGTTTGCATGCATTGCTCCTTCAAAGAAAAACTGACAGCAATTAATATTTACCCCCACCCAGCCAAAATCACACCTAAAATATACCAATATGGGCAATCTTCATGAAGGTGCAGCATACTCCAGAATCCGCCCCATTCCTTTAAAAAAATATCAGTAACACGCCAGTTGCAAAACCATGGCATTTTCAGAAAAATGACCAATAAAGTGTCTGTCATACGTTTAGATTTTTCACAAAATTTATCTGAAATTTCTTACTTGTTTGGCGCCAACTGGTCAAAGCTTGATTTTTAACTTTTTCACCTCCATTCGGAGAGTCAGAAATACATACAAAGCTAACAAATGCTTAGTTTCGGGTAAAAACCCAAAAATACACACAAACAAGAAAGAATTACAATGGGACAGAGAAATATCAGAAGTTATCAGTACCTTCAAAACACCATGTCTGAGTTATTAAAATTTGACCCGGGGCTCATCATTCGAATTGTCCCCTGCCCCATTTACAGAATTACCTGGCCGTAGCGTATTCGGTTCGGTATTTCGTATCAAATAAAACGTTGTTCATTAATATAACTTTCTGTTCAAATTTCGATTTGAATAAACACAGATACTATTTTTTTTTCTTGAGCTACAACCCGACATTCACAATATAAAAATACAAGAATTGCATGACCCCGGTAAAAATTTGGAACTGAGACGTAATAACGAGTAAGTTAGTTCCGACACTGCATTAAATACGAAATTTTAGACAATGAATCGATAATTTGTTTGATGGAGAAATATTATTGGCAAAAGTCACTTACTTAGAACAGATTTGTTTTTGTTTTCACAATAAACAGTTGTATAATTGTAATTTAAAACAAAATTGCCATTCAAGTTCATTATTAATTACGAAAAAAAAAGAAATCGTTCATATGCCGGTAGAAACTTCTTTCTGTGTTTCATTGCGCTGGCATAATTGTTGGATTGTCAAACTTTTTATCGGAAAATCTACTTAACTATATAGAAGTTCCGTTTATTTCCGAAAGTTCATTATGTTTCATTTAAATCACAAATTACATTTTATATATCAATATTAGTGTGACAGGATGTAGTACAACGTTATATCCCCTTATTTATGTTCGTACAATATGACAAAGTTTTTTTGTCCTATATATAAGCAACAGGTGTAAGGTAAATTTTGCAGTTTGCATGTGACTATGTTACTTCCATGTTACACTCATACAATGTAATGAAAGGATAAATTACAGACTTATGTACATACCAGTTAACAATTTTACAGATTTGTTTATTTATTAAAGGCCATTCTCTTTACCTACATTTTATGACTTTTAGGGAGTTTAAAAGTGGTCAAAATAAGCGGGTATTCCAGGTTAATTTTAGTTTGAGTATACGATAAGGGGAGCGACCTCCACATAACTTCCACCGTGTCTCGTGGACAATTCCAAACGAACGTTTCAAAAAAATACGATTATATTATTTTCGTCGTGATGTTACTTCACATTGTCGTGTGAGACGCATTAACACGACAGACGACCATTACAACTCGCACGATCAGGACAGTACGGATAAGCCGATTTGCTAGCCAGCAACGTATGTATGTAGTTAATGCTTAATGAGGATCCATACGCCCTTTCGGGCACAAATGCAGCTTTCGCTGTCGAGTAACACCCCGGACATGTCACCAGTCATGCCTTAAAGAGTAATTTTGAAGCACAAATTTGGTGATAATTTACCTGCCATGCAATCTTTCCACGGGAGTATAGCCAAGAAATGAATTTTGAGCCAAAAGTAGGTCACTGTACGGCGGTCAATGAGAACCTGAATGTACAGTAACCCTGTGACAATATGAAAAGTTAGCCCTGAAAGGGCTGTTGTACCAGCAAAAGGCCTGCCTTACAAGCCCTTTATTCTGGACTAAGCGGGCTCACGCACACCTAGCACACCACCCT